GGGATTAAAAAAAGAGAGAGAAGCCGGTGAAAACTTCTCCCATCGCGGCCAAAACCTTCTGATTTTACTTAAAAAACAATTAAACTCCGGGAAATTCGGTTTGCAGTGGATTTTGACGGATGCGCACCGGAGCTATCCAGGGGTGTAGCCGCGGTTCCCGTCGTGCGTCTTTGCGCTGTTAGAGGTGGTGTGTGACTGAGTGTGTGTGAGAGAGGAGGATACAGATAGAGGTGGAGGATCAGCCGGAGTGGCCGACCAGCCAGAAGGATGCTGGAGGGCAATGCCTGCAGAAAGAGAGGATGAGATTTGTCGAAAGGCGCTGGAACTGCTCTCGGACCTTTGCTCCAAGGGAGAGGTGCAGGACGACAACTGCCTGGATTTCATTTACTACTTCAGGGATCTGGCCAGACCCCGTTACACGGACTCAGGTAAGGCTCCTTTGATAAAGTAGGATAGAGTTATAATATATCCAACACTAACTCGTGGCAGTTTAATTTTATTATGAGCTCCAGGAGCTCCAACAAATAGGTTTTTTTGTTGTTTTTGTTTTTATCTTTAGGAAAGCACTAAACAAACTCCAGTTTCCCCAAAATACACGAAACCCTCAAACGTTATTCCTCCAGTGTGTGTGTGTGTGTGTGCAAGACTCCCACTGTAGGAAAAACGGTTCACCACATTAAGAGAAACGTTCAAGGGAAAAAAAGCATTTGAACCTTTTCATTTTAATCGTATTCTTGCAGTAGTAGTCAGTCTAAACAGAAAAGAACTTTTTGCTCCATGCACATAATTGTATTTCACTATTTTTCCAGTTCACTACAAATGCATTAAGAGTGTGAATTGTGAACTTGTTGCTTGCATCCATTAGTGCCAGCAGAATCCACAAAACATTTCGGATCTATAAGTGAGTGTGAGTGTTTGTTTGCAAATGCTCCGGCGGCATCCATCAGCTTCTTCACGCAGACTGAAAGGGAGTGCTGCTTTGATTTCTCTTACTCTGACAGCCTGGAGAGAGCCAGAGAGAAAGCCCCACCCGATAATTCCACATAACTGCCATCATTGTGCAGACATGGCTCCAGCAAAAGGAAATAAGGATCGACGACTTAAATTAGTTACTGTATTTTACACAATCTGTTGAACTCACCCAATAAATTTAAGGTTTTTCAGCAAAACCTTTAGAGATAAAATGAAGTGTAAAATCAATGAATTTGAAAGTTTAGAGAGTTACGTTTACTACATATTGATATGATGTCCTTCAATCTTTGTTTGTTTGTTTTAAGAATCATCCATTTGCAGCCATCGCAGCCTCGTAGACCCCTGCAGCTGCCACTTTCACACCGTGTTTTATGAAGTGTCTCCCACATCTTGGTTTGGTTTGACTGACTCTTTTTCTTTCTTTTAAATACCATGTGGTCAGGGGTTAAAGTGGGATTTGGCAGGTGTGCACGCCTTAAGATCTGATGGAAGTGCGGTGAAATGACTCACTGGAAAATAATTCACTTAATCTTCTCTACTGTAAGCTGCAGTAGATTTTTCTTTGTGGACAGGCTGTGATCGTCTGACCTGTGTTGCTGCAGCAAACTCTGGTATTTATTGTTGGTCTTGCAGATGTTACATGAGTCATTGTGGGCTCTTTTTAAACCATTAGCCAGTAAAAAGATAATATAAAGGTGGAATTTGGTGTTGGTGAAGCACTTCATCGAATAACTCCTACCTTTAACTTAACCGAGCAGAGAGGACAGTAAACACAGTCTACCCTACACCGGATCTACAGTACCCATTACTGAAAAGTTTGGCTTGTCCTGTATAACCTTTCAGCCAAAGTCAGTCATTTGCAGTAAAATCACCACATAACTTCAGAATCACAACATTTATGCATTAATTGTCTGATGAAAAAAATCGAGCAAACTTACATCACAGTTATCTGACTTTAACTTTTTAAACTTTTTAATTTTCAAATATCGTTACTGTGCCTTTAGCTAGCAGACAGATTTTGTGCCAAACTGCATATAAAATACTGTATTTGGTGATATTCGTTAAGCCATTTGTGTGGTTCGCTTCAAAAAAAAAATCAGCACATTTTAAACTCACTCAACTCTATCTGCAGTTGCTAGACGCTGATGTACTGCAGCCACAACTTTATTGAGATCTGAATGCATGAATGCATAACAGGGATGAGAAGGAAAAGAGGATGTGTGGAGAGTGTGCATGCTGGAACATGGAGACACATTACTTTGTGATTTATTGAGTGAGTATCTCCGTGGCATCGGCTAGAACGAATGCCAAGCAGCAGCATATGAAAAATCAACTCAGTTGATGTCATTATGCATTAAACTATTATTATCCTCTTTTTGATTCAGACACTTCAAACTTCCATTAGTCTGAAAATAACACTTTTTTTCCTCCAAACCTTTTAGTGGCCAGTCTCTCAGATATTGATTGCTCTATGTCAGTGTTTAGGTGGCTGGCTCGTGTCAAAGTA